ATTTTTCGATTGTATTAAATTGTATAACATAATATTAATTATACCTAGTATAATATGTAAAAGGTAAAAATAAATAATATGATAATTACAGGAGGTTTTGACAATTGAATCTTTTTTGATGGACGCTATGTGATTTATAAAACTCATGTGTCGTATTTTAAAATAGATATTTATAATAGAAAAAGGTTGAATTAGTAATTGTTAAATGTCGTGTTATCTTTCGATGTCACAGTTGATAAACGTTATTGTGTAGGTACAACGAACAGACAATGGAAAATATACTCGTWGTATTAWGACAAYAAAAAGTGGTGTAGAAAATTACCTTATAGTACAAATGTCTATCCCTTAAAACTATAACATYAGTATTAGGGTGTAATTTAGACCAGATTAAGGTTACAAATGATTATTGTTTAGTTTCTCGATTGATAATTATTATTGTGCTCGCGTGCAAGCTGACATATTATTTTGCACCTATAGGTGGCTATAATACACAATCATCACTCATCGTTTATAGATATAAACCATTGAATACTACAATAATATAACATTATACACCTATATAGTATACATTATACATATATTATTAATTTTAATTCATGTATATAGGAGTAAAAAAATGACGTTAAAATATAATATGTAATAAAACAGAAAAATACATTTATATTTATGAGCGTTATATAAATTAAAGCAAAATATCGCTACCAAACGAACAGTCATTATCAATGATTCTCAAATTCGTATACTAGTATWTGTTTTCCTTCATCATAGTTAGGTACAGTCAAACGTCGTTTATGAATATCTGATATTGGTAGACGGTAGTAATAAAACTAAGAATACCGCTGATATACAGTCGAAAACAAGCTTACCGATTTCACATGTTAGTAAGTTAAAGTGCAGTTATAAATAGCGAAGATTTGTTAAAATATTTTTAACTATACCTAGGCTTAACACTTCTTATTCATATACAAACTACACTACTACTTCTATAATATTGTAGATAATTATTATAATAATATTAATATTAAGATAATTTATAATTATAAAATTTAAAAAAAAACCCTATATTATATTTGTTTTGGGTATCTAAAAAAAAGGTCAAATACGCTCAATCGTAGTCCACCATTACAGCTTGTGTATTTGGTTTGTATTTTGTATATAATTTTAAAATACTCAAACACTCAGTGGCGATGGCAGCAAGAATGTAAACGTCATATATATTATGAGACAAAAAAAAAATTATTTTACCCATCTACTTACCAATTTGTTTATGTAAAAAAATCCTTTTTCGCATATTCTAATATATATTATATTACCTATATTGTTATTATTAAATAAATCGAGATCATCGCTGTAACGCAACGCCTTTTGCTAAAACATTTAAGCTTTATTCATTCAACAAAATCTACGCAGTATAATRTCCTCCGATCTAACATCCAACCAGTCATCTGAGTTCCAAATGATCAACTATGTTCACCTGCTTATTAAAAAACTTCACAGATCCACAAAACTAACCTCGTGTTTCTACAATAGAAACTAATTATCATTTACATAATTACATAAGTATAGACATGTTAGAAATTAGAACTATAATATTATATTATATCATTATAATAGGTATACCTACCTACACAAAAACTATATTATTATATTATTTTATTATTATTATTTTGTTATTGATGTTTAATTTTATATTTTATATTATCAAGATATCTACATCATACAAACATTGAAACATACAACCATTATTTGCTTAACTTAAAATATAAAACAGTGACTGAATGACGTATAGCCGTATATATAGGTATTCACGGRGGGAAATTTTGAGTGTTCAAACATACTTCTCCTTTCATTTTTTTTCATATTTTAAATGTTTTTATAATATATGTTTATAAGAATACATTTTTAAATATAATACCGGCCCTCTCCTTTAACCGTTGGTAATTTATGTGTACACCGTGGAGTTAATCTAATAGTTATATTTAGTTAGTTTAGGTACCTTTGATAAAATCATACATCAATATGAATCATCATTAGCGACATTAGCTACCAAATAACAGTCTTGATATATGTACCAGGTACCTATAT